TGAAGTCAAAATTATTTGACGGCACGTCTCTGATTTCATTAAACAATTTTTTAGAAAAAATGGCACATTGGTGCATAAAGGTTCGCCACCCCTGGTATAGGTCATCTGAAATGAGTTTGATCGGCTTTTGAAATCGCTGCCACCTAATTCCTTAGTTGAAGGCTTTGAAAAACTACCAAAATGTTTGCAGAAAATCATAGATTTGGGTGGTGATTACTATCCGCCCTGAAAGAACTGCTTTCATGTTTGTTTGTTTTTTTATTGACAGAAAGCTTTTGCTACAAACTCTTATAATTACATGTTACCAGTCAGAATGAACATAAGTGTAATTTAATTTTTGAATATAACTTATTTTAGTTATCAGAAAGTTGACACACGTTAAGAAATATTTTGTTTTAATTTTAAATATTTTGTTTTGCTGCCACAGATATCCGTCCATTGGATGGGCCACTTTCACACATCACCCAACAGAGGACAAACACAGAGAAAAAGACATCCTTGAGTAGGATTTGAACCAGCGATCATTTGCTTTGCATTTAGACACCGTGACATTTCGGCCCCCTGACTGGCTAACAAATAATATTTATTACAGAATAAATTGTATGTTACAAAAATTTTATTTTCAGCTGATTAATTAAAAAACCGTATGTATTTTGTTATTGATACACGTTAAGTATATATTACAAATGATTTCTTAAAATACCAGCACACAGGTACATTTTTGCAATTAGAAAACTTAACATTATATGCATAAAAACATTTTGAAATTTATTGTTACGCTTACAAACCTCTTTGTTTCGAGGGTCCCTTTTATCCATAATGTCAAATTGCTAAGGGATTTTAAGGGAACTTTTAGCCAATTCAGTGAAATAAAGGTCAACTTATGAAGGTGGTGAATTTGGCAGATTTCACTGTACTTGAATATGACAGAATTAAAAAATTAATAATCAAATATATGCCATCAGTTACAAAAATTGAAGAAATTTTATGAAATCGGTTCGGAAAAATTGTGAGTGTATGGGCTTTGATTTTTTTTTTTTTTTTTTTTAATAATGAATATTNTTTTTTTTTGAAAAACTTATGAATTATTGCTGTTGTACAATTTGTGACCTTAAAATGTGTGTTGTCCAGAATGTATTTTAACCAGATTCCTTTACCTTATGTTTCAGCCTGGAAACTCAACATGTGATCTTAAGCCTTGTACTCTTGATGCTTCACCTGGTAAACTTTTGTTTTTAAGAGTTAATTTTATTGATAGTGTTTCATTATGCTACTAATGTAAATATGTATACTTTTAATACATGCAGATGATTGTGTCATGACCAGAGGAGCCTCTTTTGTTTTAAGTTTTGCATACAAAGCTTGGATCTTTGCTGCCGTTTACTACTGGCTATCCTGGGTATTCTTAGGGGTAAGAATGTTCTTAGGAATTCACTGTTGTTTAACTTAAGATGTTGACATTTATATGTTTTTGTGCTAACTTTGCTGTTTGTTTAACTGAATGAGTATTTGTTAAGGCAGCAGTTCCCAAAAAGTGTTCCCTTGAACCCTAAGATTCCATGGAAGGAGGAGAGGGATTCCGAGAGTTAGGATAATTTTAATCAGAAATAATAATATTTGCATATAATCAATAGTCCATAATTTATTAATTATTTTGCTTGTTTAACTTTATGTAAAGTGCGCATGAAAAGTAAGGAATTTATTATCATGAAAATAATGAATTTTTTAATAGGTGCATTGCTGTTATGAAGTTGCATGAAAAATTAAGGATTATTTTCTAGTTAAGTTTTTTTTTATCAATTTAGGATGGAAGTTTATCAAGCATTCTTGTGTATTTGGCAAAATAACAATTGTTATTTAATGTAGACAAAGGACCTTCTAGTTTAAGTTATAGCATAATTTCTTGTTAATAACTGAAACATAAGTTTAAATATCATAATTTACACCATTCACCATAGCAGTTTGTATTTGGTGTTTCATAATAACTTTTCTGCTCTTAATATTTCTACAATTTTAGTTAAATTTGAAATTGGGAACTTGCACATTAAGAATCCCAAATTTATACTTAAGTAAGGAAAAAAAATATTCAAAAGAATCATACTCAAGATTAAAGTGGCAATTTATTTATAGATGCTACTGAAAGACTACTAATTTCTATGAAATAGAATAATTATTAATAACAAAAAAGTTTATACAGTTACTTAAGTAAATTACATCTAACAAATAAACTGAAATGTTAATTTTAATTTGTTAATTCTGACTTGTTAATTTTAATTTTATCTTTACTGCTACTCAATACAATATAGAGTCACTAGGTTTTAATATATTTTTTTACCCTCTCTCTTACATATTTTATTTGTAACCATTAATGTCAAGTGACTTAATTTTTTGTAATTATTTTAAAAGTATATCATGATGGTAACCCAGAACACCCTGAGTATTTGTAAAATAGATTTATTAGCAAACCAGTTTTTTATTCTTGCTATTTGCACCACATTCCGTAATTGTCTAACAATAAGTATGTTTTTGTTATAAATATTTTATACTGAAAAGCTTTTGAGTTTACATTTTTCTGTTGAAAAGTACAAATATTACTTTGCGTATTTTATTCACGTAAGACATAGTTTTTGTAAAATAACTTATTATTCAAATTTTACTTAACTTAAAGAAAAAATCACATTGAGAAAATATTATTAATGGCACGTTGGATATTGTTTATTTGAAAAGTCATATTACATATGATTGTTCTCCATTATTATAGCAATATTCTTTTGGGGAATGTGTATGTGTAAAAAAAAATTTAAGTATATATTTTACATTTATGCATATAAAATAGGACGAAACTTTGAATTTCATATATTTTGCTGAACTGAATCTAACTAATTAGTAAAAAGTTTTATTTATATATTGTGTATACACAGCCACCTAATAGAATCTACACTGGTGTTCAAAATCAGGGTGCGTAGCGTTTTTAAAAAGTGCTTAAAGGTGCTTATTTTCAATTTTCGTTTTTAAAAGCTCTTTAAGGTGCTTTTTTCATTGGGTGTTTTTTAAAGTGCTTAATTTTCCCTTTTCTACAATAAGATTTTTCCTTTACCATGTTGATTTTCGCTAAGAATTATGCAGAAAGACACTGTTCACATTTTTCAATTCAACGTTTTCACAATTAATTCAACCCCAATCTATTTCCACGCAATGTCAGTCCAAAGCGTATGAAAAAGCCATTTGATTTACAAGATTAAAAAATTTTGACAATAAAACCAGATAAAACCGTCAATTGTCAAAAACTCTCCAACCCTACCTAATTAAGATATTTTTTTAAAGTGCTTAGAAATATTATTTGAGTGCTTAAGAGGTGCTTATTTTTTATTGAATAATTTGGCTACGCACCCTGAAAATGAAGAGAATTTGCATATTTTATTAAATGCGATTCTGAAAACAACGAAAGTAAAATGTAAGACTACTGTTTTGAAACAAAGATGTAAATCTTATATGTCAAATATGTATGCATGTAGGTGTGTGCGGATGTAGTTAACAGAGTAATAGACTTTATAAGCCTGCATAGCAAAATCTGCATTTCGCATATCTTGCTGAATTTCTTGGTGTTTTTTGCAGCAATCTTAACCAATTCTTTAAATTAAACTTTAAAAACAATTAGTAAAAACCAAGGTTTAGATAATGGAATGAGCTGGCGAATTGTGGAGAGACTTGGAGCAGGCCAGTTGCAAATCCAGATTTTTAGAGAATTCAGTTTATCGCCTGCATTGTGTAAAATTTCTGGAAACAATTTCTGGATTCTGGATCTGTCAGGAGAAAGACTGGCCAGTGAAGATCGGTATTTGACCATTGCAGCAGCGGGGGGGGGGNNNNGGGGGGGGGGGGTGCTGCAGCATCTCAGCTCTCCTGTAATCTTTCAACTGAGGTTTGCTGCTCTTAGCAAGTATAATGCTGTATTCCCACACACCCCTCCTTATCTTTGAAAGCGATACTATGAGTGGTTTGAGGTATAAGGATAAGATTTTGGACCTCTTTGTTCACCATTTCTGGAGGGCAGTGGGTCCTAATTTAATTTTAATGGAGGAGAATGCAACACTACACAAAACACCTCTAATCACCCATTTTCTTGAAAATGAATACATTTACAAAATGGATTGGCCAGCCAGGTCTCAAACCCTATAGAGCATGTCTGGGATGGACAATTGCAACATGTAATATCCTACTGAAAACCTTCCAATGCCTAAAAACAGTGCTACTGAACGAGTGGGGCAAACTTCCGCAGAAACTCATTAATTGCCTTATTTTCAGTATGAAATGAAGGTTTGAAGCCTTTATGTCTGCGCAAGGGAGCCATATCCTCTATTAAACCATTTTTTTATTTAATTCTGTAACCGCTCTTTGATACCATCCGACTATGATGAGAGTTTTTGCACAATTATGAGTTTGTATTATAACTGTTGAATGGTTATTATTTTAATATTGTATCAGCCTATAGTCAAGTCACATTTTGTTATCATCAATCCAGTACTTCTTTTGAAAATCGACCAAATATAAACGTTCTCAATTTTAAATACCAGTGTATAAACATAATCTCAATAAAAAATTTTAAATGTCTCTTAATCAAATGTTACTTTATGATTTGCAATTAAATATAATGTATAATGATAATGATTATTCATGTTTAATTACATAAATAATATAAATGAAAATGAAGGTAATACTTCAATTTTAAATAAATTTTAAATTACTTGTTTTAAAAGTTGAAAATAATAACAAATCTTAATTTATAATTTCTGAAATAAGACTTAAACGGTTAATTACTAGTTAGTGTTTCAGGGCAAAGCTGCATTCTGACGCATTTTTGAGAACGAAACTTTCTATTTTTAACTTCTATTAATTTATCACTTTTATTTTTTTTAAAAATCATTTAAAATAATTTGTTGGTGTAAAAGTTTTATAACTTATACCTATGTAATCTGCATAAAAATAGCATACATAGTTTGATCTTATTTCTTTCGATAAAGTCTTCAAATTTACAAAAAAAATTAAATTGAATTTTCTTTTCAGACATTTGTACTAAGCTTTGTTGTTGTGCTGATTCGTTCTCGGCGCTCATCTCTTGAAGAGGCAGTGGATAAGGATGATTTTGACGATAGTGATGAACCAATGGTTCGAATATAAAATCAGGAGGAAATTTAGCTTTTTACATTTTTTGTTGGCTTTTACAACTTTCTTTTTAGTTGCTATAGAAACGCTTATTTATTAAAGGATTAAAAAGATGAGTGTAAATAAATGTATTTATAATATCTATTTGTCTTTTTTTTTTTGCCTGTTTTTCTTCTTTCTTTTTTTTCTTTTTTTAGGCAGTGACTTTAATATATTGTTGATATTGTTTTACATTTAATTATGTTATGTAAACCAATTTCTAATCGCTTTATTTTCAAAACTATTCTGACTTTTTAATATTTTTTTAATTAAAAAATTAAATAAAATAAAATGCCTTATTTTGGTCAAAAAAAATCATTACTCTTTTATGGAAATTATTTATGCGTGTGTTACCACTATAGTATTTTATTTAATAATTCTTGAAATGTATATTATGTATGTGTATGAATTTTATGTATGTGGTAAAATAAGAATTTTTTTCCTATTGTCCAAACTTCCACATTTTGGGCGATCACAATTTGTTATCATTATTTATAATAATAGTTTTCTAGTCATAAATTTTCAGCTCAAAGCTTTTAAATCTTAAAGCTTTACTGAAAACAAGAGATAAAAGAACTTGCAAATTCCTGAATTGTCTAATTTATACTTGTTTTTAATCTCTTGCATATCAGTTAGATTAGAAATTATTTGTATATTGTGTTAATCAGTGAACTAACATATTGTTACATCAATGTTACTCTATTATTAATAACTTGGTTAAAGGATTATGAATAACAAATATGTATTTATAGTCAATTATTATTGATTTGAAACAAATATCATGTTTTCACTTTTCAGCAGTTTCACCAGTGAAAAAAATTTCTCATCTGTACACCATTTCCCCATTTAAATATCACCATTTTTATATTGATAGATTTCTAAATATCCATAGGTGAAATATTCTCCATTTCCTACTTAACAAACTATTAATAATTATTTTATTACATAGTAAAACTGGTTCAACTGTGTTTAAAAAAATGCAGGTCAAAATGTGATTTTATATATATTGTGTAGAACTGTTAAAATCATTATGAGTATTATTGAATTTTTTATGTAAAGGCAATATATATAACGTTAAAATTGATATGTTGTTAAAGTGTGCTCACTACAAATAGTTTGGTTTTCATTGATAGCAGTATTATTATTTTTTTATGTAATTTTGCATTACTTTGATGAACAAAAAAGGCAAATTCTGTGAGAATAATAGTGATGTGTTTCTTGGACTTTTTTTCAATATTGTAATTTAATTTGTTTTAGATGGTTTGTCTTAAAAATATTGTTTTAAAACAGCTGATTGGTAAAAATTCGTGAAGTAAATCTTTTACAAAAAATTTTCTTTAATTTTTCTCATTTACGCAATATTTATCACTTGCTTTAAATTTATTTCTTACTATATTTATCAAAAGGTTATTTAAAATAAGCTTTTTAATATTTGTTTAATTGTATGCAAAAGTATAGATAAGAAATGATTTATTCTTAAAGTTTTGAAAGTTACTTTATTTCAATTTTAATGATCCTAAATTTTGGGAATTAATCCTAAATATTTAGTAACTGTATATTGTAAAGTTTTAAGAATAGATCATAATAGTAAACAATAGATAATTGTTAATTTTTGGGATTAAGTGTAAATATTAAAGTCACATATTTTTACATTAGTTGCTTTAGGTACTAGAGCCAATTTTTGCATTAGATTTTATAGTGATCTGATTTTGGTCTAGCAATAATACTCAATTGTTAATTATTGCAAATGTTTGATTTTTTACTAAATGTTTACTAAAAGCTCTTGCAGATATATTCTGTGAAACCTTGCTTGTTGAAATTTTGGAGTATTTTATTGTGTAATGTATATTACAGTATGTATATAGTTTAAGCTCAATAATGTAGCTCTATTCTTTGTAAATATTTAAATAAAGAAAAAAAGATTATTGAATTTTTCTAATTCTGTTTTATTTCTTTTACAACATTCACAACATAAGCATATTTTATAACTTTATTATAACAATTCTGACAAAAAATATTTTAAGTTTAGGGGATTTAAGGTTTTACAGTTACTTTTATACCTTACAAAAGTAAGTTACATTAATATGTTGTAACTCGACAATGTTCGAATGTAAGCTTTATTATGATGTATGCACATAAGAAAAACAATTGGCATAATTTTTATGTTGTAAGATTATTTTCAAACGCTTCGATTTCTCTTTTTTTTGTCGCATTTTAATTACTTATTACAAATTGAAGCGTCCACATGCCTAGCCTTTAGATTAATTTGAATATGATATACTTTGGACTGTAATATATTTGAAGTTATAAATTCTTTTGTGTTTCTTTGGTTTCCTCTAGTAACTTTAAATTGTACTATCATTTTCGACAAAAATATTGAGGCCTGGAAAACATAGGTATATAGTTATAACTTATATATCATCATCATATCTGGCTAGACA